TATATATTTTGGTTTTAGCAAATTATGATGAATTATTGGAATATTTTTTTAAAATTATTTTCTCTGAATTTCATCTTTATTTTTTGTTGGCTAATTGGCGCGGCGGCTGGACTGCTGAGTGTTTGGCTGCAAGGTGTTATACAGAGTGTTTCACAAAAAAGGATATCGATTTGAAATTTTAAAAGCGTTTGCAAGTAATCCTTTTATGTTTATTTTAAACAAAATCAACTTTTTTATTTTAAATTTTAAATTCTGTAAAAAATTCTGAGTAAAATTACTACTCTCTAAAAATGAATTAGTCAAATATGATTATATAAATTATTAAATGAATAATTTAATAGTTATTAGTGGCTGCTTTTTCACTTATACCATGGTATCCCAAAATTTAACATCCAATTCTTATGTAAAATGGTCCCCTGAATCCGAAAATATCGTAAAAAATTATGAAGCAGTTTTTGAGATATAGTCAATTACATATTAAATGGAAAATTTACTATATCTCAAAAACTGTTCTACTTTTTTAACTTTTGAAGACATTTTCGGATTCAGGTATGAGGCGCCGATTGCGTCAAAATAGTGTGGAAAATAAATATAATATCTCTCACAAAATATAGAATGTAACTGAAAATTTATAGAAAACACAAAATAGGTATATAAAATATAATAAAACATAAAATATAACAGAACAAATAAAATCCAACTAAACATATAGTACACCTGTAACAAAACATATAAAACATAACGAAAAAAAAAATTCAACAAAACATATAATATACCTATAATAAAACAAATAAAATCCAACAAAATATAGAAAATCAAACAAAACATATAAAAGCCAATAAAATATTAAAACTTGGCCGTTTGAGGGCGCTCGACGCACAAGTTTCAAAAAGACTAATATAAGGAGATTTTTCGCCAATGCGGTAAGTTTTTAAGGTTTTCTTTAAATCCTTTTACTTTTTAATTTAATTTATAACTTTAATTGGAAACGATGGAGTTGAATCTGCCAAGGATGGATGAAGTTACAACATTTTTCAGGGATTTGATGCATGACTTCGCTGAAGGGGTTCTATTAGTCTTCTTGAAACTTGTGCGTCGATCGCCCTCAAACGGTGAAGTGAAGAACCCGAGTTTAAATATTTTGTTGGCTTTTATATGTTTTGTTTAATTTTCTATATTTTGTTGCATTTTATTTGTTTTATTATAGTTTTATATGTTTTGTTTGATTTTATTTGTTTTGTTACAGCTAGAAAACACAAAATAGGTAGGTATATAAAATATATCATAACATATAAAATATAACAATACATATAAAATATAACAAAACAAATAAAATCAAACAAAACATATAAAACATAACGAAAAAAATAAACTTCAACAAAACATATAATACCTACACATAGGTGTTACACCTACAGTAGGTAGGTATTATGTAATTAATGTTATATATTAAAATACTGAATACCTTTTGACATAAGAAGTAAAGGAAAAATATTTAAAAAAATATTTTTCCAAAGATAAAGAAAAAATATGCATTAGAAGTTTTTTATATTTTTTGTGATACGTCCCTGGTTACACACTTGGTTTATCTCTGCTCACTTGTGTTCTGTGAGTACATAGATACCAACCAACAAAGTAGCTGCGCGTTGTCAGATGTAAAAAATTGTTACTAAACATTTTTCTTACAAAAAATAAATAAAAACTCAATAAATACAAAAGTTTTATGCCCTTAAAGCTCTAATACCCTTCTGTATTTATTTACTCATCCAGCTATTAGCTTAAGCAATGATTAGAAAATTTAGTACCTATTTTTAAAAATCCATGACCACAAAATCAGTTTTTTTCTTTCTGTTTACTCAGATGAAATTGGGACCAGTTCACAGGTTAAACTTTAAACATTTAATTTGTGTAAATAAATCCAAAAGCACTTCCCTTAGTTAAGATATTTACAATTTGAGCACATAACCTAAAATTTGAAAGAAATGCACTAGATTCTTTCATAAAAGTTGGCAGATTTTGTTTGAATTTACCTTCAGTACAAAATTGACATAACCAACAGTTAATAAACACGCCAAATTGACAATTTGCATTGTTAATTTTGTCATTTTTGTAATTAAGCTAAATTTAAACAATGTTTGTCAACTTTTTTGACAGATTTTGGAAACACTGTTGTTACCAACCATAACATAATAAATTAAATTAGGCAACCAGATTAGCCTAAAGTTTCTAGTCGATCAGTGGCGTACTTTTTGGTAGGATAAAGGTTATTATAAATTATTTTTAGACTTTGGAATTAAAAAAAAAAACTTTCAGGTGCTTCTTTATGGACCCTAAGGAACAACCCATTTTAATATATAACATTAATTACATAACACCCTGTACGTTTTTATTTTTTTCGTTATGTTTTATATGTTTTGTTTGATTTTATTTGTTTTGTTATATTTTATATGTTTTGTTATACACACAGTTTCAAAAGTTATGCATCACCTGAAATCTCCGTTATTATAATAAATTTTAACAAACTACTTTTATTGATCAATTATACAATGAAAATTATTCAGTTGGCAGATAATTTTTTTATTAGAACAGATGTAGTTTTTTTTTTAATAAAAAAATTAAGAAAATGAACATTTTATTTTTAATTAAAATTAATTTGTACAGTTTTAATACAGCGTATTTCTACCATGGGCGTCAATACACGCCTGCATTCGAGCTCTGATACTGCTAACAAGGCGATCAATTGCTTCCTGTGGCAGATTCTCCCATTCTTCTCTTGCTGCAACTGCTAGTTCCTGATGGGTTCTGGGAGGATTTCTTCGAGCTTGAACAGCTCTGGAGAGCATGTCCCAGGCATGTTCAATTGGGTTCATGTCTGGCGACATCGCAGGCCACTCCAAACGACGGATTCCTTGTGTCTCAAGATAGTCATTAACTGCTTGAGTCCTATGTGGGCGGGCATTGTCATCCATAAACACAAAATTTTCACCCACAGCTCCTCGCCATAGTCTCACATGAGGTTCTAAAACCTGGGTGATGTACCTTTGTCCTGTCATAGTCCCGTCAATGAGCACCAATTCCGTACGATCACCTGCCATAATGCCTGCCCAAAACATAGCACTGCCACCAGCGAAAGGAAGTCTGGGGCGGGCATGCGCTAATTGAGCAGCTCTTGTTGGCTCTCGCCAAACACGAATTCGTCGGCTATCACTGTTCATACAGATTCGGGTCTCATCTGAGAAAAGCACAGAATTCCAAAATTGTAGAGGGAGCTGTATGTGTTCTTGAGCCCACTGGAGGCGGTGCAAAACATGTCTATGTTGGAGCTGGGGGACTCTAATTGGACGACGACACCTCAAACCTGACTCAACAATTCGTCTTCTGATTGAAGCCAACGATATTCTGACTCCTGTGGCATTCCTGAATTCTCTTTGGAGAGCTGGTACAGACATAGAGGGATTTCTCCGAATGGAAATCTTTATGAATCTATTCTGTTGTTCATTGGTGACTCGTGGTCTACCAGATCGATGCCTATTTTGCACTGAATTGGTCTCCAAAAACCTATTCCATATCCGGGAAACATCACTCTGAGAAACACCCACTCTGTCCGCCACGAACCGCTGTGAGTGGCCTTCTTCAACTAAAACAATAATTCTGGCACGATCCAGCTCAGAAATTAAACGACGATTCATTATTAATCACGTTTTTTTAAATTTCAATTGGAATAAATTTTTGTGTAATTGACACCAAAGTGAAAACAACACAACTAAATGGGTATACACATTTTTTTACCACAAAAAATGTTTACTTTTACATGAAAAAGAGTTACTAAACATGTGATAAATAAACCGATTTATAAAAATGTATACAACGTGAATACGAGGGGTGATGCATAAGTTTTGAAACTATGTGTATTTTATATATGTACCTATTTTGTGTTTTCTATGTATACATTTTCTGTTAAATTCTATATTTTGTGAGAGATATAATATTTATTTTCTACACTTCTATTTTGACGCAAACGGCGCCTCATATTCAGGGGACAATTTTACATAAGAATTGGCTGTTAAATTTTGGGATACCATGGTATTCCATGATTAACCATGGTACAAGTGAAAAAGGAGCCACTAATAACTATTAAATTAGTCATTTTTGACTAATTCATTTTTTAGAGAGTATACTATGTCATCTATGTCTAATACCTAAAGTGAATAGTTTTCGAGTTATTAATTTTTTTAGTTAAAATTTGACAAATGCGCGTCAATCATAAATAGCCTATAACTTTTTTGTTATTAGGTTTGCGGATATGGCAGTACAACTTTTAAAATCTTAAAACATTGTTTAAAAGATTCCATGTCAATTCTTTAATATTTTTCAACAAATTACCTGAGAATATTCAGGGCTTTGGCTAACTTGAAAAGTTAAATACTTTCTTATTTTAAATGTAACACCTTGTATGTAATCATATACTAAATTAAAAAACCTTTCGATTGATGTAACTATTCCATATAATTAAAATACATAATTTTATAGTTTTTAACAATTTTTAAAATTTTAAATATTATTTTGTATCAAGAAACCTATCAGGGGTAAATTGACAGTATCTATGGTGGCTATACTGGCTATTTTTGATTGACGAGCATTTGTTAAAATTAACGATAAAAAGTATAGGACATGATTTAGTAATTTTACTCAGAATTCTATGTGGAATTTAAAAATATTGCATATTTTGCAAAATTTTCTTAAAATAAAGGAAAAACACTTAAACAAACTATTTTTTGTAGGATACAGGGAGACCCAACGTAAACCCTGTATAATCAAAACTTCAGAACATCGTAAAAGACTTATTTATTAAATGTTATATCTCTTAAACGTCGGTGTCATCCTCTAATCGATCCGAGCCATAAAATGTTTAGATAAAATATTTATGCGGCCCATAAATATCCAATAGATTAGTCGTAAAAGATCCCAATCAATAACACAGCTATTGAGGGTATACTCACTCGTACGTGGTGGGACTGACGTTTATCCTCAGGGGCTCGCTGCCGGACTCGAACTTGTTGGCGATGGTGACGTTATGGCCAAACATGCAGTAGCGAGGCATTTTTACTCCCACGACTCCGGCAAGCACCGATCCGGTGTGGATCCCGATACGCATCTGAAACGGTTTTAATGCTTTTAAACCCATTTGTAACCATTTGGGTACAGATAAATTGACGATAATAATGCTGATACTTGAAAACGGACAACTGTGGTGATATATATCACATATGTTAAACAAATATTAGAAATATTCCCAATACCAAAGTACTTCAGACTCGAACCACTGCACACAACCCAGTTTTAACTTTCTTGTTCATAGGTTGGTAAACTTTCCACTTAGTAACAGTAGATACAAGAAAGAGCTCAGTTTTATAAAAGACAGTTTTGAACCCACCCTAGTAGATAAGTTAGTAAATAAAATTAAATTTAAGTCTTGCCTTTCTAGCACACATTTGTAGATTTAACAAAAGCTTTTGACTGCGTTAATCATGAAATTCTGTTAAGTAAATTGGAACAAACTTTTGAGATCATATTTTGCTAATAGAAAACAAATTGTTTCCTATGTAAAAATTGTAGATATAGGGGTTCCCCAGGGCAGTGTTTTGGGGCCTCTTTTGTTTTTGTTATACTGTAATGATTTAAACCATATAATTAATACTTTTCATTGTGAGTTTGCAGATGATATAACAGTGGTGGCCTCAAATACCTCACAGTTAAATACAGTCACAGAAATTTGTAATAATCTTGAATCGCTTGCTGAATATTTTAAAGCATCAACAAAAGACTCAATTTATGTTGACCTTTCTTTGAATTGGAAGGTCCATATAGACTACCTTTGCAAGAAACTATCAAGCAATTGTTATGCGCTGAAGAGGTTGAATGCTATATCCAGCAAGTTTGTTATCAAGACTTTTTACTATTCAAATTTTGAATCACACATTAGATATGGTATATTATGTTGGGGCTATTCAACAGATGTAGATAGAGTTTTTTAAATGCAAAAACGTGCGTATGTTTGGTCTAAGTTTTAATGAATCTTGTAAATGTTTTTATTAATGAATGTATTTTAACTGTACCCTGTATTTATATATGAAATCCTAAAGTTTGTTAGGAACAATATGGACAAATTTAAATCGTTAAACATAAATCACACATATATGACAAGATATGGTTTTAATTTGCAACATGATCGTCATATAATAAGCTTATTCGAATTGAATCCATTATATATGGGTCCAGTATTACCAGCTGAGTGGAAGGTTTTACCACTTAAAAGATTTTTTAAGTGTGTAAAAGAGTTTTTAATAACAAATGCTTTTTATTCTGTAAGGGATTTCATATGTACGCTTTTTAATATCAATTTTATCTCTTTATTATTTTAATCAATGCATTTCGTTATTGTATTATATTATATTAAGTGTTTATGTTTTTTACTTGTTATTTGTTTATGTTATTTATTACTGCTCATTATTTAGTACCTGCATGATACAGGTTGTATTTATATTTAATATTTATATTAATTACTTTTGTAAAATTATTGTTGACTTGTCCTATACTATGTTTTGTAGTCAAAAGGATTAATAAATTTATTATTATTATTATTATTAAAGTCAAGTTTATGACCAGTCACATAAAAATGCCGCCAAAAACTGATTTCAGTTTCTTGTTCGGGACGCTTTGATGACTTAAAAATGATATTTACCAAAATCCTAGCTGCTCTTCTTTTCGAAATTTTTTGAAAATTATTGATTTTTTTTAAATTTTTGTTTATTTCAAAGTCTACCTTTGACAGAGTACACATTTGTACACCGATTTTTATAAAATTAGAGTATATTATTGAGGAGACTTAAAGAATACTTTTTAATACTGTTCACATCATTTAATATATACAGGGTGAGCCAAAAATCGCTTATTTTTAATAAAGCAAAAGCGTTAATTCATGATTTTGGCATAACACGCAAAAAAGATTTATCCCCAATTTTTTTTAGATATTTCTACGTTTATCAGGTTACAAAATGGCATTCTTATTAACCTTTTTTAAAAAATTAAATAAAATAACGCTTAGAGAATATTTAAAATGTTTAATTTAGGCTTTTTAGTAGTTTTCAATTTTGAACGAAAAACTGGTTAAAGTTTTTTGATCGGCACTCTTTGGAGATTTAAAAACGTTATTTACCAAAATTCTAACTGCCTTTTTTAAAATTTGTAAAAAAAAAATTTTTTTATTATTTGTTTATTGCAAAGTCTACCTTTGCCAGAGTACACATTTGTACACCGTTTTTTATTGATTGCAGTTTCTTGTTCGGGACCCTTTTGTAACTTTAAAATGATATTTACCAAAATCCTAGCTGGTCCTCTTTTTGAAATTTTTTGAAAAATCTTAATTTTTTTTCAATTTTTGATTATCTTACCTTCGACAGAGTACACATTTGTACACCGATTTTTATAATATTGGAGTATATTGTCAACGAGACTTGGAGAATACTGTTTTTATACTGAGTACATCATTAGATTTATACAGGGTTAGCCAAAAATTACTTTTTTGTAAAGTATAAAGCATATTGCACAAAAAAGATTTATCTCCAAAAAATGTTATTGTATTTAATTTTATTCAAAATCAATTTTTCTTATAAAGTCTTAATAAGAATCCCATTTTGTAGCCTGATAAACATAAAAATATCTAAAAAAACCTGGGTGGGTATATATCTTTTTTGCGTGTTATGCCAAAATCATGAATTTACGCTTTTGCTTTATTAAAAGAAGCGATTTTTGGCTAACCCTGTGTATATTAAATGATGTGCACAGTATAAAAAAGTATTCTCCAAATCTCCTTAACAATATACTCCAATTTTATAAAAATCAGTGTACAAATAATGTGTACTCTGTCAAAGGTAGACTTTAAGATAAACCAAAAATTTAAAAAAAAATCATGAATTTTCAAAAAATTTCGAAAAGAGGAGCAACTAGGATTTTGGTAAATATCATTTTTAAGTCACCAAAGGCAAACCGTGTCGAACCCCAGTACACTCGAGGTCTGGAAGGGATTTTTCGAACACCGGATTTCAAAATTGCTTTTAGTTCAAGCAGTAAGATACTTCAGACCCTTTTAGGCAACCCAAAAGATAGAATTCCAAAAATTGAAAAGTCGGGGATCTACGAAATAAACTGTCAAGATTGTGACAAGAAATATGTTGTACAAACTAAACGATCCATCCAGTTAACCAAGTTAGGTTCAATGAGCACTTGGCCCATGCTAGATTTGGTAGGACAGAGAAATCGAGTGTTGCCCAACGTATACTTGATGATGGACATAAATTAGTTTGTTAGTTTCTATTTACGTGTTCACGGTTTAGTAAACTGTGATCGTTTACTGTTCAGTCAACCTTAGCTCATGATTAGTATAAATATGGTAGAATTAGTAGTTAGATTTAGTTACACTTCGCTTCTAAAGATGCCAACATCGTTTTCGAAAAGTACTTCTAATATTTGTTGAAAATAATGCTGCTTGGAATGACATGTTGGGGAGAAGTTAATCATTTAATTTGTTTGTTTAATAAAATATCAAATTCCATAAAACATTTTTATTTTTGATTTCTTTTCTTTCTTTGTATTCTTCTTTGTTTATAACTCAAGTAGCAAAGACGGCAGAAAATTAGTTTCACGGCCAAACTAATCTAGCGAGACAAACTAACGATTAATAGATAATGGCCGCGTGTCTCTTCCCAACTATTTCGGATTAAATTTCTTAATGCCCAGCAAAAGGGTAAATTGTGTTTTGGCAAAATAAGTCTCAATCCACTTAATTGAACATTTGAGACAAATTACAAAGCGGGAGCCCTTATGTCAACAAGTTGTATTAATGGGATCATCTGCCCCCATGGTATAAAGCCTAAATAAAGATAAGAGATATGGGATAAAGTAAGTTTTATTGGTAAACTTGCCAGATAAGATAAAAAGAAAGTCAAGACCATCTTAAGACAAAACGATGCAGTTTATATGCACACCAATGACGGAAAGAGCGGCGAGATGCAGCGTAACTCACCCTAATTGGCTGTCCTTGATGCGTTTGGTGCTTGGTGCAAGTCTCGATCATCATCACAGCCATCCATGCAATCTGCTGCGCATGCGTGCTTGTTTCTTTGTGTAAACCCCCTGCTACGCAGTATGCGTCACCTATCGTCTCCACCTGCAAACACAAATTAGGTTAAATACGTTTAAAGAGAATAAAAAAATTTAAATAAATTCAGGCAAATACATATACAGAACAAATTTGATGTGACTTCAAACAAGGTTAAAACGATGTAGATAATTGTTAAATTTGTAAATAATATAAAAAGAAACACTTATTGGTATTGTTTTCTTTCTCAAACAGAAAAAAATTGGTCAAGAAGCAGAACAATTTACGGCGGTAAGGATATTTACTAAAAAAGTTTCCAAAAAGAATGCTCGAAAAGAAGGGTGACGTTACAGAATTAATGATAGCTCGTTTATATCCCCGTGGAGATTAATAGCAACTCCTACATTCGCTAATTTAAACAGTTTTTTTGCTGAATAATTGCATAAAACGATCATTGCGAAATTATGAAGTCAATTTACTACCATGGTAGTAACTTACTGCAGTAAGTATGTATATTAATACAATTTTTATAATACCTATTATAATAATATAATATAATATTAGTGTCATAGTCACATCTTTCAAGGAAATGACACCGAAATCGGACCCAGTATTGATTATTATATTGGCCTAGAACATTGAGCTTAAGCTTAGCAGTACAGTTTGTAGGTTTGTTAAATTTATAAAGACACATGTTTTAGTAAAAAATTATTTAAAATTTTATTTATTTAACACGCACAATATAATAGTATATTATGTATCAAGTTTGATAAACGGCATTTTATTCACGAATTTAAATTAATGAGTGTATAGAAAAGTTTATAAACGAGGTGCATACTATACTTTATCTACGAAAAATACTTATTATTATCTTAAAATGATTTAAATCAAAAATTTGTATAGAGCGCCATCTATAAAACAATAGGAGAGTCTGTGTGTCATCGTCAAATGTCAAATTTGTATACTTTATAAAGGTTATAAATCGAAATGTATTTCTTGAAAATTGACAGTTTTTCACAGTGAAAGTAAAGAAAATGTTTTATGAGCACTTTACAGTGGAGTCCGTGCCCGAATTTAAGTTATAATAAATTTACGGTTGTTTTTTCATGGTATTTTCAGGTATTATGAAAAGTAAAACTCGTTCTTTATATGCCTTATATCGGCCTTATGTTGTTATATACCATTTCTGTACCCTGTAATTTTGTATAGTATTTTTTGCAAAATTGGCGTTGATAGTCCCAGGGCATCCGTTATTTTTATTACATGCCAAGTTGATGGTACATTTTTAACAATTTACGTCTCTTTACGCTAAAGAAGCATCACTGGTAGCGCCACTACGCAGCCGTTATCATCGTAACCGAATTACAAAATAATCGGCTGTCAAACGCGTATGTTATAAACAAGTGCCTAGAATTAATTCAAGATCATTTAATACGTTTAAAATTCCAAAATCAAGAAAAAATTTGATGAATCGAGCACCAATCAACGTGATATTTAAAAACTCCAACACTTGCGATGTATTTATAAATAAGTAGTCATGTACAGGGCCGGCAGCTTTTCATTTTGACGTGTGGTGCTCATCTACAGTTGGTTGGTAACAGTGGTTAATGGATGGGGGTGTGGGTGTTCTTAGAGTTGGGGATGGTCAATTGACCGCGATCAATTGACCAGTCAATTGACTGTCAATTGACCGCTACCTATTTGACCGGTCAAAATATATTTAATTTTTGCAGCATTTTATTTAGGTATCAACAATTACCCGTGAATCTCAAAATTTTTGCGATCGTGCAATATCAACATCATTTACAATTTGGTGGTTCCCCGAGTCGAGGGGTTGCTAGGCCGGACGGCGCTTTGCCCTTAAAGCGGGACATATCTTTTTTAATAGCAAAACAACTTTTTAAAGCCGCACAAACGTTTCTAAAGATGGACATCACTTTTATAATAAAAAAAAAAAGTTAACGTATTTTAATTAAGTACCTATTTATTAAGTACAAATAAATCACAGTAATATTTATTTTGATATTTTATTTAATTTAATTTTGGTCAATTTACCGGTCAAATGACTGGTCAATTGACCAAAAACAATTTGACCGGTCAATTCCACAACCCTAGGTGTTCTATTCCTTGGGGGTTGCGGAGAGGAAAACAAAATAAAATTGGAATAGTTTTTTAGTCAATTTATTTATCAAACTCAGTCACATTTTATATACAGGGAAAGTTTTTTAACTTGGAAATATCTCGCGTAATAAGCACACTACTAATTTTAGCACTAATATATCCCCCCCGGAATGATTAAATTTATTTTATATAGTTTTTTCGACAGTGCTTATTACGCCAGATATTTTTAGTTTCAAGTTAAAAAAAACTCACCCTGTAATGGAGTCGAATGGGATAGGTATATTACTGCCACATCGGACGTTTTTAGGGTTGGCATCTGCCACTTCTTGGATCAAGGGTTACCAGCATCAAAAATACGGGTTTAAAATAATCGTTCTAGATTTTTTTACGAGAGACAATTAAAACAGAGTTACTCTAAGATTCGAACTAACTTACATTAAATTTTGTTGATAAAAAGTCGGCTATCTATCCACTAATACAATTGGTGGTAGCAAACACGAACATAGAGATAATAAACAAACCGCACGAACTGTAAATAATAATAATAATATAACTCAAAGTTTGGCCGGTTACCGTCGGTATAGTAGAAATACCCTAAATACACGTCGCGACGTGTCGGTATGATATCCCCACTATACCAAGAAACATACACTTATACATACTATACCGACCGACTTTGATACTTTAAACCAGCGGTTCTCAAACTGTGGTACGCGTACCACAAGTGGTACGTAAGGTATCCAAAGGTGGTACGCGAATAGATAATAGATGCCTTCAAATAAAATTATCGTTGGCTCAATTTTATTGAAAATCTATCATTTTCCACATTTTATATTGTAAATGGCAACACTGTTGTTGGTGTTTATTAAACGGGTAATCCCGTGCTCGTTTTAAAATCGTGACGAGTCATGCGTATTTTGTTTTGTTCTGACAAATTGTTGTTTTAATACTATAAAAATTGGTTCTGTTTGACGGTTATCAGTATTTCTTATTAAACTATAAGTTCAATAAATACGTACACGCAGCACAACTTGTTTTATTTAGTTCGGTTCGATTAATCCACATTGCACATGAATGGTACGCGAAAAAAAAAGTTTGAGAACTGCTGCTTTAAACTTTGGATTCCTCAGCTTCAACCGTAAATTTGTAGAGGGCGTTGGTGTGTATCCCAGGCTAGCAGGATAAAAAATTTAGAGACCGCAATATACCTGTGGTGCTGAGCACCACCATTTTCCTTTACGTGTGGTGCTTGAGCCCGCGAGCACCGCTATTGTCGCCGGCCCTGGTCATGTATGTATATGTGTATAGATAAGTATACATATATGTTCATGTATAGATTTGTAGATGTATATTTTGCATGGATGCTTATTTATTTATTTATATATTCTTTCTTTTAATATTTTCTTATAATGTATTTTGTCCTGTAATTGTTGGGCTAATAAAGTTTATTATTATTATTATGATTATTATGATTATGATTATGATTATGATTATGATTATGATTATGATTATGATTATTATTATTATTATTATTATTATTATTATTATTATTATTATTATTATTATTATTATTATTATTATTATTATAATATTATGTTGCCATTTTCGTTTACTATTTTAAAATGTTTAAAATATTTTAATTATCAGCATTTTTTAAGGTTTTTTAAGGTTATGTTTATACAACTATTATTTTTTGTTACATTTCCTAAAAATGTCCAAACTCAAATATAAATTATATTAGGTAAGGTTATCATTGGTTAGTTCTGCACCAACAAATATACGTACCGAATTGGATTCTTTGTCAAAACATGAAAATGCAACGATTTTGCTATTACTATTATCTCTTAAATAAAATACACACACACGTAAACTATATAAGGGTGATTCTACAAAAGTTGGGCAACTTTTGACCTTATTTTGTTTATATAGTTTTCGGAGAAAATTAAACAGTATTTTGTTATGAAAACATAGATAATATAATAAATATACTGTTCCAGACCGGGCCAGTCACTTTTTCAAACAGTTTCTGAAATATCTGTTTTTCTAAATTTGAATGCAAGGGAAGTGACGAGTATACCAGAGTACTAATTAAATACATAATTTATTGGAAAATATAAGATTTATTGCAAAAGCATATTATATATTAAATATCTTAAAATCAAATAATACCACACATCAGTAGCGGCTGGTGGATTTTGGGAATACCGATATCTTAATTATTAGATATGGGACCCACACCAAATTTATATGGATTTTAATGACATTAAATAAACAAGTTTTGCGCAAGCAGAACTTAAATTGAAGTTTGCGAAAAAAAGATAACCGAAACATCGAACATGGAACTGACGACACGGTATTGATAAATGGGATACAAATTTGAGATTATAATTCGGAATTAAGTATTTTACTGATATTTTTTATTAGTGGATGCTACTTATAAACAAATCACATATAGCCTTATATAAATTACAATGAAATATATATACGTAAGAAAATAACTACTCACCACAGTACTGAAATTTTTACTGGATCTATACGTGCATTCACCACAACTTCGACGCTTGCATTGTTTTCAAGATGACTGTCGTACAAAGGGCGGGCTCTGTAGGTAATTTTTTACCAACACTTGAGTTAAAACGAGGACTTGACGTTTAAAGTTCAATATTTCGAAGGAATTTTGAATTTTAACATTGGACACAGAACTGACGGGTAAAAGTGAGTACAAAGATTATCAATTTTTTAAAAATTGCTATTATTCGAATCTATGAAAAATAAATTATTTAATGTTTTATGGTTTGTAGTGAAATTTAAGATAAATTGAATATATTTTAAAATAAAACTACTTAAATATTTGATTCAGGAGTTGTGCCAAGGTACTGATGTTTTGAATATTTGTTATGTTTTTCTATAGTATACTAACTTGCTTTTGAAAAATATATTAAAATTGG